TGAAAGGTTCAACCTTAAGAATATTAACCTCTCTGCGCACGGCATCAAAATCGCCACCCAAAAGTAAACCAAATTCTAATAATGCTGACTCTGTTGGTGTCCCCAAAATGGAGGTCTTTCCATCTTCCTTAATAACCTCAGAGCTTGTATTTTGGAATATAACCTGTAAAAGGATGCTTGATGCTCCAGATATTTCTGAACTCAATATTTCTTTACTCTCATTACCATTTACATCTAAAGGTTTTTCACATATCCATATCTTGTTAACTACCATGTGGTTTGTGGTTAATGTCCCTGTTTTATCTGTGCAAATGCAACTAGCAGAACCCATTGTCTCACATGCTGAGAGATGCCTTACGAGTGCCCTATCATTCATTAATTTTTTCATAGCAAAAGCAAGGCTCAGCGGCACTGCCAATAGTAATCCTTCGGGAACTGCAACAACAATTATAGTTAGTGCAATGGCAAAGTAGTTCAATAGGATTACTGCATCGGTTGAAGACCAATCAGTGATCTCGTTGTTAAGTATTTTTTCCACCAAAAATCTTACTGCCAATACCAAAAATGTCAACACAGCAAAAGTCAGACCAATTTTGCCAATAATTCTAGCAACACCATTCAGCTTTACCTGCAGTGGGGTCTCATCTTCTTCTCCTTCACTCAGAGTTTCCATCAACTTTCCCCATTCAGTTCTCATACCAACTGTTGTCACCAGCATTATACCTGACCCATCCTGCACTTTAGTTCCTGGAAGAAGAAAAGGCTTCTCTTCATATACATGCACCGGCTCACTCTCACCTGACAAGCTTGACACATCAATCAGTAAAGAGTATCCTGATATGAAAAATCCATCAGCTGGAACTTGGTCCCCAATTGACAAATGGACAATATCTCCAACAACCAAGTCATAAATGGAAACTTTTTGTCTTTTTTTATCCCTAGTGACCTGAACGAAAATCTTTTTCTTCTCCCTGTCCAAATCCTTGAATTGCAATGACTGTCTGTAGTCACTAATGGCAGTAACCATAACCACTAAAACTATACTAATTAGAATTCCCACACCATCGTCCATGCCTTTTGGCCACCCCTCAGTGGCAATTCCAACTCCTATTGAAACCACAGCGCATACCAGAAGGATAATTAATGTCAAGTCTTGTAGGGCTTCCCATACAAACATAAAAAATGTTCCGGGAGGTTTCTCCGTATAGCGGTTTAAGCCATAAACATTTTGCCTGATTGGTATGTTACTATCCTTGACACCTTCATCTAGCGAGACAGAGACTTTCCTTAAAATCCCATGAATTCCACCATGCATTTTCAAGGCCTTAATATCACGGCCACGCGTGATAGATGCAAGTTCATCTGGGTGAATGCTGAAACCTGCAGTTCTGGCATCTTCAGACGGCTTGTATTCATCCTGTCCTGGCTTTTCATTGGATTGATCACCAGCACCAGCTTCAGAAGATCACATAACAAAGAGAGAGAAGGAATGAATACATGACATCAGCGCACACCTAATGAACTTTTACTTGACCAATAAACTTAAAGATGATACCATCAATAAACTGCAGTCCTGCTTTCTGAACGTAAAGAGCAACTCGAATCTTTTCCTGGTAAAACAAAGAAGAATAACAAAGTACTATTGTAACTCCATAACACTCCCCCGCAAATCGAGCGCGCACAGCATAGCAAGATTTGAATGAAGAAACCACATGGTGATGGAGATGGCAGTAGCAGTCGTCTGTAGTAGTCTAGTAAAGGAAACAAAAAAGAAGAACTTCATAGGTGCAACAACGGCTTGAGAGAAACAAAGTAACAGAAAAATAAAAATAATGACAGGTGAGAGGCAGCAAGTGAAGGAGCGAATGGGCTCATGGAAGGAGGGAATAAAATGAAGGGCTGACATACAAGTCAAATGTACCTAGGGAACAACTCTAGGCACCTGAGAAACATAACTCTACCTAGGAATCACCTCTAGGTAGGATAAAGAGCATGCGATAAGCGGGAAAATAAAGGGATGGGGAAGTGAAACCCATCATCAAGTGGGAAAGGCCAGAAAGTCGTGCACAAAGAGAGAGAAACACAATTTTAAAAGTAAAGGGATGGGGAAGAAAAAAAAACCCACAAAAAAGAGAAGAAACACTTGCCAAGTGAGACAGAGAAAGGAAAAGAGAGTGGGCAAAACACATAGATTTAAAATCTTTTCAAAATAAAGATGGGAAAAAAAAAAAAGAGAAAGAAAGAGATGAGAAAAGGTAACACCCATCAAAAGGAGAAAGTAGGCAAGAGAGGGAGAGAGAACAAGAGGCAAGAGACAACCCATGAAAAGGAAAGGAAACTCAAGATGGCAGAGACAACCCATGA